CACACACTTCTTGCTTTATAGATAGATTACAACCGATCTAATGCTTGTCAATTGAATAGCTCTGAAGTATAAAAAAACAAACCCTCTGAACTCTCTGTAACCTTTTTGCCCTGTCGCTGTCTGGAAAGAGGCTCTGAATGTTTATTGTATAATCTACAGAAAATAACCTTGAGCCTTGTGAATGATGAGTGTTTTTTTTCGCAGCCACTGCAGTTTCTCCTACACACTTCAGTCCGTTCTGATTCTCCAGTGGTTCAATACAGACACTGTTCACTTACCTGCAGTCTCTAACTTCACCACTAAATCCAACAATCCTTTATCTTCACACATCACACTGGAAGAGACCGACCAGCCCAAATCATATTTACAGATCGGCTCGACCTTCCTAATGTGGGTCCTTTAGGTATTTAAAATACAGAAATGTCAGTTCATAATATTCCACATAAGACTGTGTGAGTGCCTCTGAGTAGCACTGTGTCTCTCTATACAAGCTAGATGGACCGCTGATCTTGTGGCCATGAAAATATTATACTGAATCTTTTTGTAAATGTCAGTTCTGGGCGTGCTGGTTGTTTTTTTTAGGTTGTTTTTTTCACATTTTGGAGAGACACTGAGGCTGGAGAGCTGGTACTACTTAAAAATAATGAGCTACATGGCTTGATCCTATTGCAGTAGTCACAAGCCCAATTTAACTGCTTACCACCAGAGGGGCAACACAGGTAAAGTCTGAGCTCTGAGCGTGGGGTCAAAATAGAACAAAACATCACTTACGCGATTGTTTTCCGCTGCCCACAGAATGAGCTCCTTTGGTTTGTCTTTGAGAGCTTCTTCTTTTTCTAGATACCACTCCTCACTGTGGTCCCCCTCCTCCTCTTCCACCTCCTCTTCCTCATCCTTGCTTCCGGTCCACAGGCTGCTGGCCCCTCGGGGGATCAGTTGACCGTGTGTATTCAGAAGCTCAAGCTGGTTGAAATCTTCAGGAAACTCCATCACTTGCTGTTTTAACACATAGAAAGACAGAAACATATATATATATATATATATATAGATATGGAGGAGATGGAGTTAGAGAAGGTTTAAAACTGAACAATTTAAAGGGAATATTAACATTTTATACTTTTACCTTGGATTGAATGTGACACAAACCCCCAAATGATCATTAGAGGGTTAGATGAGTGGCCTAGTCTAAACATTTTGGCTTTTTCGAATGGAAATATAAATCAAAAAAGGCAACCTGCAGCTATTTTTCCATGGTGCTTTTCATTTCATTTAGCCTTAATTTAACCAGGTAAGTCATTAAGAAAGAAATTGCTTATTTATAATGGCAGTCTGGGTTTTATTTGACATAGTTCCAACTAAAAATAAAAGTACAATATATAAGTTAGCTTTCTTCCGAATAACAAAAAGTACAGTTTGAAGAACTTTTGTCCCCAATTTAGTATTACTTACCAATGTCCTACAATCTGGATTTAAATTACAAATGCTGATTTTTTTTTAAATGTGACAAATTGTGTGCTTATTTTTCTCCAAATGTGATGTTTACACCTCAACATGATCAAAATATCATCAGAATCAGAAATACTTTATTGATCCCAGGGGGGATATTTGTTGTATTTTGATTACGTTGAGATGTAAACATCACATTTGGAGAAAAATAAGCACACAATTTCTCAGATAAGCCTCTTTTTTTTGTCTTTGCCTGCTGCACATATGACTGTGTGAATGTTTTAGAGCTCAAACAATCAGTCGATTAATCTACAGAAAATGAACTGACAAATATTTAAATAATTCATTAATGGTTTAAACATTTTTTTTTAAAGCAGAAATGCCAAGCATTGTCGTTTTCCAGCTTCCCAAATGTGATACTTTGTTGTTTTATATCATTGTAAATTAATATCTTTTGAGTTTTCGACTGTTGGTTGAACTAAACAAGCGATGTTTAACGTTACATGTTAATAGACCAGACGATTAAAAATGCTGCTTACTTTCTACTTTTTTCTTTTTTTTTTAGTATAGTACAAACAAACAATTATTAACTTAGTAAGTTAGAATGACAAGACATAGATACCTCTGTTAGAGGACATATCTATAAGTAATATTAGAAACACCTCTCAGTGTAAAACAGTGCAACAGCATTACAAACGGAAGTCTCCAGAACGACTACAACGCTGAATGAATGCCTCTCTAACACAGTTTAAACATCAACACAACAACATTATTAACCTGCAAGGTGAGGTTTAGTGTTCACAGCTGTAAAACTGTGTAACTAACTTAGTAAATTGTTTCAGCTAAGAGTGGATTAACGACACTTTATGGTGAACTGTTAATTGTACGTTAGTTGCTGTTACGGGCCGAGGGAGCTAACGTTCCGTTTGACGTCGACGTCACATACAGCCGTCGGAAACGCACGTTGACGTCACACTGTTAAAACCTGGCAACCAACCGACATTCATAAGCGTCAACGTCTGTCGGGTCCACAAACAACAACCGTCACTCACTCAGGAGGTACAAACTGCACGATTTCACCCTCACCTTCCAGTTTTGCGGGTTCACAACAAACCACGGTCGACTCGAGTGAAGACACGTGGGATATGTAGTTGCTTACCGAGTTAGCGTGAGAGAGGAACGCTGTTAAAAGACGCCAATACCCATAACTACTCGCTGTTGCTTCTTCTTCTTTAGCTTTATTCTCGGTAGTCCAGACGCTGCACTTACTCGTTGTCGCCATCTACCGGTTGTTGTTTGTACTGAACGAATCCTGAGCGGTGCCCGAAAGGAAAGGGAAGCTACAGTATAGGCTTGTGTCTGGTGACTTAATGTATCCATACATCCATTAAAACGCTAATTTGACAGATGATACATAATATTTTAGTAATGTGCAGATTGAGACTTAGTGTGTTCTTAAAATAATAAATAAATAATAAGGAAGTGAGGAATTTGCCTTGGTACATTGGTGCATAAGAATCACAGTCAAGCGTAGAGAAATATAAATAAAGACAGATGAATAGAATATGTACAAAATGAGTAAATAGCTGTGCAGAAATGTGCAAAAAAAATATAAAGCAGAAAACCCTAACCCAGACCCCGAATAAACTAGTCTTGAAGGAATTTGTATTGAAAGTAAATCTGCCAGGAACAGACAAGAAAGACTCTGTTGGATGGAGTCACCCTGCCACCTTTTAATCATAAAAATGACAGCTAACAGAAACAAAATATGCCCTTGGAACACTGTACTCGTCAGGGTTTTTTGTCCTGTTAACCCCTGCGTTTTTATCTCAGCACATACACACACATGAAAGACTGCAAGGGATGTTATTTTCAGTCTACTGTATATGTCATTAATGAGACTTTCTGCAGGATTAGTCACAGGCAAATTAAAATGTTTATGAATGGTAAGACGAGTATTCATTCATATAGTGTAGTGCTCATACAGACCATCTTTCTCTAACTGTATGTCCCCCAAACAAACACACAAAACATGTTGTTTAATGCAGCTATAACTACTTAGATGCACACTGCTGTTCAGCTGCAGAGCACCCTTGACTCTGATTAGATTCAGTGGCACAACAGAAGCACACAAAACCCCACTGACAGAAACTAATGGCACCTTTTGAAGACTGTACAAAAGCCTATTTGAAAGAAGGACAACTTGAATTTAGGTAATTTGCATCTTCAGCCAGAAGGGACATCACAAATTAGTCCCAGCAAGAGCTATAGCTTCTGTCTCTACTGGATGGGAGCACTGTAATAAAAGAAGCACAATGTCCGTGTGTCTACTTATTAATGTAGACGTGGTGTCTATACTGTTTAGTCATGTCATGTTTTGTTGTGTTTCTGCTGGAAAAATAATGAATGGAAGAGTATAACAATGCAGCTGTAATGCCACTGCTGATCCCTGCTAAACATTGTTTTCCCCTGATTGAAGGATGATCAGAACCCAAACCCAGCGTTAATGTATTATTCAGCACTAAGTTCACAGAGGCTCTGAGATACTTCAGGAATCAGATGCATCTTGCTGATGCTGGGCCGTTATCCTTTAGTACATGGAGGGATCTCTGTATATGTCCATATCCTCACAAATGTATTATGAAATTATGTCCTTGAGAAAATGAAACATTCAAAGTACTTAAAAAAAGTTATGAAGAAGTGCAATTATTTGTTGATCACAAGGTGAATACAGGGAAGTGAAGTAGTGCTTTTATGGAGGAATTGTGGATTAATAATTTATAGTTGTTGTGGGAAAGATGTTATGGTTCTCCAAGGTGAAAAATGACATCTTGTTAAAAAAAAAGTCCTTAACATTTAACACTGTGATGCTCCCTTTAGGCCAATCATTTAGTAGTTTTGGAAATGCCAAAAGGAAACACATTATCCCAAAAATATTGATGACAGTCTTTATTTATTGAGCACAAAGACTGCCTCACAGAGGGAAACAAATTAAAATCAACATTAAATAGAAGAATGATGTGAAAATAGTTCAATATTTTGGGAGATGTGCTCATTTGTTTTCTTGCTGAGAGTTAGATTGATACTACTAAAAGACTGGTAGCTGCCTGGCTTAACCACAAATTGATATAGAATATATATAATACTGTGTAATTAGTGAACTTCAGGGGTGCTGGTAGGCAGAATTAGTGTCTGATACATACAGTGAAGCCACAAAGAGCCTTAATAGTAATTAGTATAGTAATATTAATCCTCAAGTCAATAAAGTTTGATATAATATATATTAGTTTGATCAAAATTCCATCACTGATGTCTGAGATGTTTTATGTGATGGATGGGATTCCTTATTTGGGCAAGTCCCAGAGTACTTTCATCATCATTCATCACTTAAGCATGGATTACGTATTCATGTGAATGAATGTATAAATGAACGTCACACTATTCAATTCATTACTTTTGTATTAATTTTGTCAGTTTAAAGTTGTGATTCAGACGGTGATAAGAAACGATCATCATAAGAATATCTTAAGTAATTCTAAATAATACATTTTATTATGCACATCATGTTTCATGTCTAGTTACAGCAATTTACTTAATCATTTTCCACACTGAGCAGCAGACTCAGATCTTTGATTTAGATAATCACTCCTATTTGATCATCATAATCAAAAAATATTTTACTATTCTAGCACTCTTCAGATTTTATGAAACTTTGATTAAAAATCACCTCTACCCACCAAATTATCAGCAGACAAATGTTACTTCCTTTAGTGCAAAACTGATCAAATAAGCCATTACCATGTTGAATTTGGCAGAGAATGATCAATCTTTTTGGTTTTAATTTGCTACCACAGGAGCAGAATCACTGTTAGTTTGGCTGCTTAAAGCTCGTTTTGGCCTTTCACACAGCAATTGCTGCCATCTGTTCCTTCACCAGTGCATGTGAAAATCAACAAGTTGTACTGCACAAAAAAACATAATTGGTAACTCACATTTCTGAAAAATATAAAAAATGTGTATTTCTATATCTGTAGCTCTCCTATACAAGTATACATAGTTAATTAAAGGAAAGTCTGTAACAAAGCATATTGCAGCGTTTCTGATTTATTGCTGTAACAAATACTTGATTTATGCAGATTGAAAATGAAATAAAAGCTACTTTAAAGACTTAGATTGTAATGCTACCAGTTGTTTGTGCTGTTTTAGGTAATTGAGTGACAAAGTGTTACTGTTGGTGTTGATCCAGGGCTGTTTTGGATGCATTATCACATTTTGGATGTTTTTATCTGTGGTGCTAAGCTCAATGTTAGTTAAGAGAATGGTGTGAAGAGTTTGTGAAATGGAACACAACATTTTTGTTACCAATTGTGCAGATTTTTCAAGCGTTATTGACTGCAGAAGTGTTAAAACCCAAGCTTTTAAGGTGGCTTCTGTGTCAACCACTGATGTGTGTTGACTTGCGTAACAAGGTTGTACAACTGGTTGCCGGTATTACATAAACAGGATGTAATGCATGTCTGCCTGGTGAATGATTCCATAGGCTGTCTGTCTGTCTGTCTGAGCTCACAAATACATACAGATACACACACACACACACACCATCTTGTGCTGAACAAATAGGCTACCTTTGCCAGTCGGGAGAACTCATTTGGTTTGTTTGACAACAAACCCTGGCGGATCAATCTGTGATTCAAAGGAGACAAAGGTTTCCCCGTATTGAATCTGGACGCATGCAGATTCTCGTGGGATGAAAGTATCTGACTTTCAAAACTGCCTCTTCACCCTGAAGGCAAATATCAAATCCTATTGCTCTGCTCACATCCCCGCTTGGTGGACTGCACTACGTTAAGTTTTACAAGTGAAAATCAACAAGAGTAGACAACAAGAGAATGCATGGTCCTAACTTCAACTTGTGTGTGTGTGGGCTGTCTGAGGGGCAGGGGTGGAAAAAAGTGCACCAGCAGCAGGTGGTGAGGAACCAGGGAACAATTACCATTTAGAGGCACACAGAGACAGGTATGATTCAGGAATAGGACCCAAACGCAGACAATCAACCAAACAGGAACAGTTCAGGAATTTTTTGATAAAAATTAAGGTAAATAAGATTATGGGTAAAAAAGAAACTGACAGTCCACGGGAAACAGGAAAACAAAAGGAAATTCGTTTTTTAAAGCAGAAAAGGGAACCCGGTTACAGTACAGTACCTTCCAACTGTGAAAATGATCTATAGGCTACTGTCTAAATTTGCTTTAAAAATAGAAAAAATACACTGAGCAGAAGACACAT